AGTTTAACGTAAGGTCTATTAAATTTCTTTGGAATCTTAAAACCTTGCTCCTTGCACACATTTGTTGAATTACTGTAATCAAATAGTTGAATATTTTTGAAGATTCTTTACGAATGTTCTATTTCTTGTTTAGCCTCAATTATTGATAAGAAGAAAATCTTTTCTAGTTAGAGCTAAGGAAAATGGAAAGAAAAAGACAGACATTAGAAAAGAAGCAAGAATCCCGGTAGTTGAAGCAACTATTGTACCACAAAAGGCTGTTCAACTATCAACCGATACCAAAGGTTTAACTTTTGAGTTCCTTCTGAAGTCTGGTTTTAATACATAGCATGAGTAGTGATCACTTTCTGGAAGTTGAATTGTTATTTATCTACATTATTTTGAGTTTACTTGTAAGTTGTGCCGTTTGAAGTGATCTTGATTTTGAAGTGAAAGACTCTATGATTATTTTTTTTGTAGCATGATTAAAAATGTAATCATATACGAGTATGTCATCAAATATATTCCTTTATCCTATATACAAATGATATATTTAATTATTGTCACACGTTTCAGGTTGTTCACCTTCAAAAGTTTATTCACTCAACCATTCGGTAGTTATTTTCATGGTTACTTATAAGTTCAAATGTAGCCATGCCGTTTGTTTTTCACACAATTATTATATACCATTCAATGTACTTTGCATACAGCTTTAGCTTTTTGTTTTTTGCGCATTGTCTGTGGGTTATTCCCCTTTACTATGACAGCAAAACGTTGATATGAAAGGTCTTGTTATACAGGAGCATTATTACCACTTGCAATCTTGAATCTTCATTACTGAACATTGAATTAATACTGGGGTTAATTGTGTTGGACAGAAAACTCTTCTGACTGAAATACGTTTTATTGAAAAAGAATGCTTTTAAACTTAATCCACTGATAATGAATTTCTGGGAATGCATTTTAATCAGATGACACGTTAACTATTGCACATCACCTAATCATATCGTGTCAATATTTTTTACACAATCATAACCAAATGATACGGGCATTTGGCTAAAAGGCTCCAAACCTTGTGCTTGTCATAACATCGTCAGTTTTCTTTATTCCTTGATTTAGATCAAGCGTAAGAGTGAAAACTTAAAAATATGAAATGCATAATGGCTGAATCTATATCTGTTATACAGAAGATCCTGAACAAATGTTTTAGAAAAATAGGCAAGCAGTATTTGGTTAAACAGTAAAATGAATGGTATATAATACAATTTTGTTTAAATTTTAGTAATTGAAAAAGCTGACGTAGCAGTAATCTTCCAAATTTCCAAGCGCGTAAAGACAAAACAGTTTAGGAAGGAGTTCATACCATTCTTACTGAACTTGTTTGAAGAGGCCGACATTGATTCTGGCAATATGCGGATTGCATTGGTTTCTTATGGTAAAAGAGCAACAGTCCAGTTCTATTTGAATACCAATACAAAGATCACTGCCGTACAAAAGACAATTGGCCAACTGAATCCACGTAAACTAAAACAGAGTAAAGCAAACGGCGGTAAAGCGCTTCAAACCGTCATGTCTGATGTCTTCAAACCAACACGTGGTGATAGACCGACAGTACCAAATATTATCCTTTTAATCACTGACACTAAAAGTTTATACGCTAAGAAGTTCTTGAGAACATCAAAGAAGGTGAAAGCCACTGGTGCCAAGATAGTAGCCATTGGTGTGGGTAATGCTGACCATGAACAGCTGGAATCGGTGGTTTCACCCGGAATGATATTGAAACTTCAAAGATTTAAAGATTTTGTTGCAACAGATTTCATAAAAGTTGTGAGAAGTAAACTTTCTGCATGTAGGTTAAATATTCAAATATATTTACTTATGCAATATAAAGTTCATGAATGCAAAACTTGTAATCAACAAACACAACAGCATATCAACAGAAAGGCTAGATTATTTTTCTATTTAATGATGGCCTCTTCAACATGTTATTTTTCTTTTTTCACAGCTTTAAGAATAGATCAATCTACAACACATGGTTCATTTAATAAAGAACTGAGAAGTCTCGAACCACCGTCTCTCATCGATACACAATTTTTAAGTGATACAGGTTACGTATACACACATTGTATCAAAGTAGGCCAACTCATCCACTTGAAGCAGTTAACACGATTTCACTAAGATTTCCCAAAATTACACTAGCACTCCTATCACCACATTTCGAGCTATGAAGATGATCTTGGTTAGAAATATGTTTCAATTTTGACAATACAAAGCATTCGTATTAAGGCCAATAACTAATTCCATGTAACTCAGCAAAGAAAGATGCAGTCCTTCGAGATTCTTTTGTATTACTAGAAGGTTAACAGCAATATTTTCCTTGTCAACATATTGCAGGCACGTGATTTATGAGATTCACATATTACCCATACCAAGATGACGATGAAGGATAAGGACGGCTCACGAAATGCACAACCTATCGACTTCGGCCGTCCTACTACAGATACTCAAGCGTCTGTATACTGTGATCACTCGTTTTTACTAGTCGAGTAAAATTTGTTTGTGAACACGATAATGGCTACAGAACGTATCGATGTCGATGATGACTTCATTTTCACCATTTTTCTAGGATATACTAATTTGTCATGACTTGTATTAAATTTTGTTTATCAAAAGCTGCAAAGTTATTGACTTTGACATTAAAATTAAGTTGACTAGTTTTAAGAAGACAAGACAACCGCACTCTAATGCCTTATATCCTAAACCAATCACAATTCACATTATTCACAAAGATTCTTTATTTCAATTATATTATTTTTTAATGAACATTCTCTCAACTAGCTGCTGGCTGTCTTATTTACATATATTTATTGCCACAGTCAACCAAGCTTTCATGGGTGGTTAAATTAGTTGAATTATTTACAGGGAATACCATAATCGTTTATCTACAACTTGACAAACCTTTCAAGAAGAAGCAGATAAAGACGGCATTGATACCTCTACTGTATGATCTAGTCAACAAGTTAGACCTGAAAACAACCAAATTAGCCATGGTCTACGGTAAACATGGCGGAAGGAAAAGTGTTTTCCAAACAAGTTCAAATGATGAGGTGAAGAAGATTATATCCAAAATTCAAGCAACTCGACTTTCTGCCAAAAAATCAGATTCTGGTAAAGCTTTAAAGAATGTGAGAAAGGTTTTAAATCAGATTTCCTCAAAGGCACCAACCCCAACCAAGAAAACAGTGATTGTTATTTCTAACGCTAAAATGACTGTAGGACGCAGTGCTGCTTTGGAAGAGTTAGAGTCTCTAAAACAGGAAGGAGTACAAGTAAAGTCAATGGGATTGTTTAATGCCGATGCTGATGAACTGGTGAAGATATCCAGTAATGGAGATACTGATATATTCTCTGTTAATGGTAAAAAGTTAGCGAAAGAAAAAATAACAGGGAGTAAGTTTTTAAGGGTCAACACTTACGCACACAATCACTTATCTCTTCATCCATTGAAATAGTTAAAACCTAACTTGATTTGTAGCTTACTTTTTTTTTAAGTTTATGCATATTAGTATGTATCAAATCAAATAATTTGCTTTTTACATTACGTGTTGGTAGTAGTACTCCATTATATTTGATAATCATAGGTTCAGCTCTCTTTCTATTATTTGTATAGGCAAATCATCAACTACAAATGGCCAACCTGCAACGATACTCAATCAACAAGCGCAGCAAGGTTCGAAATTTTGTTTTGTATTCTGCATTATCAGACAGTAAGCACTGCTCAATATCTCAAATCCAACGCCTGCATATTCGTTGATGCGACATTTTTTCAGATAGATATACGAAATTGAATACCACAGACGCAAAATGTAAATTTGCTATACGCTTTGTCAGCTGGTTTATGGTTTATTCAATTATTATTAAATTCCAACCACATCGTCTTCATAATCACAATTATTATCAATACTGTGACAGAAACCTTCCAACATTATGCTTGTTAATATCTGTGTACTCTATTCAATACCAGATGCATTTTAGCTTAGATATTAAATACTTTTATACTTATATCTTACGAGTATGTCTTTTAAATCATTCAATTATTTATTAAATAATTTCTTCTATACATCTGTACAATACATATGTTAATGCCACCATTCACTGTAGTTGTGTTGAATATAATTCAACAATCGCTTTTTGTATCTACTGTCAACCATATGCATTATCTGTTAACTAGTAACACTAGACGAAGATGAGGAGACTAAACTATAATTAGGAGGCCAAGCTGACCTACAGAGCACATACTAGATTTGAATAGAATTTTATAAACTTAATTCAAAACCAATATTAATGACTGTCTATTAATTAATGACTCTGACACTAACTTGATTGTAAAGTGGCTTTCAATGGGTTTTTATGGGTCTTTCTGCAAAATTTTTCTTGATGGCATCTATATTGAAAATTGGAATGGTACAAACCAATGCAATCAGCCATACACATACAAATATTTCGAAATCCTCAACACAATGCCTTTAAGTCTCACTCAACATCATCTACGTTTGTTCGACAGGCCTTATTATGCAGTCTGGCGCTTCCCTTTGTTTACTTTAATATGTAGAGCGTATTTTACTATTACAATATTTAGCATTTATCTATTACATTTACAGGAGCGTCTGGTTCAAGTTCATCTGGTTCGCTAGCAAGTGAGTACCAAGCGCTTATCCATTTTAGGTAGCTTTTCCAATTTCTTTTTGTTTCCAATGTAAGTATATGTTTTATAAAACATGCGCATATTGGCGTTTGACAAGCAATTGTAGCATAAAGAGTAACACAATTCTATACGACTTTATGTATAATCATTTTTGATAGATATATTATATTTTTCATTTGCAGAAAGTAGAAAAGCAGACATAGCTATTATTTATCATGTTTCAAGAAAGATGAGGAATACTAACTTCCGTAGAGGATTTGTTCCCTTTGTAGGAGATCTTCTCCAAAAAGCTGGAATTGATTCTGGCAATACCAGAGTAGCACTCGTCAATTATGGCAATGATGCTAGCGTGGACTTTCATTTAAACACCCACAATTCACTTAGTGCAATACAGTCAGCTTTGGCGAAAATTAATCCAAAAACAGTTAAAAACAATAAAGCGAACACCGGAAAAGCATTGGAGTTGGTACAATCGGAGGTGTTCAGTTCTGCTAGAGGTGACCGAGCTGATGCTCCCAATGGGATCATTCTAATCACAGACATGAAAACAAATGTCGATCAGCAAAAGTTCCTGCAAATGGCGCAAATGCTGAAAGGATTTGGTGTTGAATTATTCACAGTTGGTGTTGATAATGCCGATGCAAATGAGTTACGAGCAGCGAGTACTCCTGGCTACTATGCTTCAATTGGTAACCAAAAGAATTTTAGAAATACCCAAGTTGTTAATACTATCACGAGCAAATTTATAGCATGTGAGTGTAACATTTGGTTAATTTATAATAACTTAAAGATTTCTAATCAATGATTTCGTTAAAATTCATACGAGTTTGATCTTAAAACACAAAATTCAAAAAATGAATATATTTCTTAAAAATATATTTGAATTGGAACGCAATTAGATGTTATAATTTTGTTACTGTAGTGAATCCACCTGCTATAGAAGTTCCTTCCAAACCTGTTGAGGTTACGACTGGTGCTACAAGAACAGAAGTCAGAGGGCAAGGTCGGAGGGATGCGTTCATTGTGTAAATTTTCAACGCATGAGTAACTTTTGTACATTTTCTTTGCACGCCAATATTTCATATACACTTTTCATTCTTTAATCCTAGTTTTTAAGACATAAAATATTTCAGTTCAGATGCTAATGTAAGTGCAAGCGCTGTTTGTACGTCATGTGTGCCGCGTTTGCGTCTTTGCTTTGCTGCTTTCAGCTGTTGAAGTGTGCGATCTGTATCAGTTGATCTGGTGCGTAGCGATAAAATCTAGTATGAGTTTGCATCCCGGACGTATTTTCAAACCTACTCACATTTGGAGCCTTTCTTTCCTAACATTCTGATTTAATGCGTGTGTCAACACTCTTGAAAGTCTGAATGATCTTTTGGCACATGAATGATCCTCATGTGCCAAAAGGGACTAATCCATGTTAACTTGGCATGTTGTATCTTAATATATCTAATACCGATACTGATATCAGATTTGTATACAACCTTTTTTGTTATTTGGCTCAAGAGTCAAAATTCTTTACATCATTTTGAGTTTTAGAACAATGAAAAAAAAAATAATAACGTCTGATTACAGTAATTGTTTATTTCTCACGCCTTCTCTTGCTAAATTACTCTTACTAACTTTCAAACTTTTAAAGTAACAGTAAACTATAATTAGCGAATCGTGAAAATTTTTAATAATATTGGGCTGCTTTTTTATGTTCGGATTGGTTCTTTGTCAACGAAAGTCTATTTTTTATTATTCAACGCAAATCCAGGAGATAATCAAACTGCTGTGAAATTTGAAATGGAAATAGTTATTGCGTTTTAAAAATTGGACTTTCGTTGTTATGGAATTGCACTTTTCAAAGGGTACAGTGCTTGATATTGTTACATTCAGGTGACAGTGCCTGGAGTTCTGGAAGTAGCTGGAATTCCGGTGGAAATACTGGTGGTACCCCGGGTAATAGAAGAAATAGTTGGAGCTCAGGTGGATCAGGGAACCGTGGTTCAAGCTGGAGCTCTGGTGACAGAGGATCCGCGGGCAGTGGATCATCACGTGGGAGCTCTAGTGGTTCAGGAGGATCTGGTGGCAGTAATGGACCCGGAAGGGGATCTCCAAGTTGGAGCTCTGGTGGCTCTGATGGAGGAGGATCTTCAAGTTGGAATTCTGGTGGTTCGGGAGGATCTGGGAGTAGTGGATCCAGAGGCAGTGGATCATCACGTGGGACCTCTGGTGGTTTAGGGGGATCTAGTGGCAGTGGTGGATCCAGAAGAGGATCTTCAAGTTGGAGCTCTGGTGGTTCGGGAGGATCTGGGAGCAGTGGTGGGTCTGGTAGTGGATCTTCACGTGGGGGTTTTGCTGGTTCGGGAGGATCTGGTGGCAGTGGTGGATCTGGAAGGGGTACTTCACGATGGAGTTCTGGTGGTTCAGGAGGATCCGGTGGCTCTGGAGGCCCTGGAACAGGAAGTAGTTCTAGGGGATCAGGAGGAACCTCTTGGTCATCTGGCGGACCCGGTACCAGTGGTAGCGGAGGACGGGGGACATCTGGATCTGGAATCGGAGGGAGTGGATCTGGCACACGTGGCACCGGAGGTAGTGCAACAGGAGGAAGGCGAACGTCCTGGACATCTGGTGGCAGTGGATCAGGTGGGCCTGGAACCAGCGGCACGGGTGGGCCCGGCACCAGTGGTAGCAGAGGAAGGTGGACATCTGGATCTGGAAATCGTGGTACCGGAGGTAGCGGGACAGGTGGGACAAGTGGCACTGGTGGGAGACGAACCTCTTGGACATCTGGTGGAAGCGGGTCAGGTGGGGCTGGAACTAGTGGCACGAGTGGACCCGGCACCAGTGGTAGCGGAGGAAGGTGGACTTCAGGATCTGGAACTCGTGGTACAGGGGGTAGTGGAACAGGTGGGACAGGCGGCACTGGAGGAAGACGAACTTCATGGACATCTGGTGGCGGTGGATCAGGTGGACCTGGAACTAGCAGTACAGGCGGTAGTGGTGCTGGTGGACCAGGATCGAGTGGTACCGGGGGATCTCGCAGGCCATGGACATCTGGAAGCAGTGGTGCAGGTGGACCAGGATCTAGTGGCACTGGGGGATCGCGAACACCTGGTGGTAGTGGAACGGGTGGACCCGTTTCTGGTTCCACGCCTGGTAACGTTTTCTTTGACTTACTCAGTTTGCACTTCTTTTTCGCAAACTAGATATTTATGATCGCCATTGAAGTTATCCATTGAATTGAGTTGTTTTTCGAAACATAGAGAATATATAATTATATTGTACATGTACTTATTCCAAAAAAGTAACCATTGCCGAACATATTAAAGTCACATGATATTCATTTAATCTAAAGTAAATCGTTACTTTAATAACGGCATTCTGTAAATTTTTAATAGTAGAAGTAGAAATTTTATCGTTTGCTAATCTGTCTGTCTTTTCTAGAATATAAGTTGTTGACTTGATAAAGACATGATATAATTAATGACGAAAAAACGTCAAGTTTGAACAATTTAATAGAACCAATTTACTGATTAAAATGCAATGACAAATTAACCTTGAAGGTTATCAGTGTACTTACAAATGATTCATACTGAAACTGGGTTTGATTTTTCAGGAGGTGGACGTAAAGCCGATTTTGCCATTGTTTACCAGTTATCTAAAAGAGTTAAAAATGTGCCATATAGAAGAGAATTTTTGCCATTTTTATCTGAAGTCGTGGACAAAGCCGATATTGATAACGGTAATGTACGAGTGGCTGCTGTCAATTATGGAGCTGAAGCTAGTCTTCAGTTCCCACTTACTAAACATACTACCAAAAAATCGTTAAAAGCAGCTTTAACCAAACTGAATCCAAGATTGAAGCATAAAAAAGCAAATGCTGCAGCTGGTATGGAGGTCGTTCGCAAACAGGTTTTCACACCTGGTAGTGGAGACAGACCAGATGCACCCAATTATGTTCTTGTAGTTACCGACACAAAGTCTTTAGATTCCGCTAAGTTTAAAAGCGAAGCTGATCAACTCAAATTGTCCGGAGCCCAAATCTTTACAATTGGTACCGGTAAAGCTGATAGCGGTGAACTACAATCAGTTGCTTCACCCGGGCACTATACCAAAGCCAGCAAATTGGAAGATCTTAAAACTCCCGCCGTAGTTGGTTCATTCAGAAGTAAATTTCCCGCATGTGAGTATTCAGTTTATTGTATTTAAATACTAGTAAACGTAACAATCAAATTCACAAGAATATGTTGATAATTCATTACGAACATCAATCACATTTCAAAACTTTCCAGTGTATGAATTGTGGTTAAGTAACAAAATCAGTTATTTCACTTTTATTCCAAGTTTAATGATACATATTTAAAGGGACAGATGTGCCATTTGTTTGACCCATCGTAGCTTAGTCTCAGAAACGGATTTTTTTTTTAGCTAAGCCAATCAGTAATAGTGTTCACAGCTCAACGTCGAAATTTAAGCCTTCAACTCCCTGCATGTTCAGAATTATTCGCACTTGAAAGGCAAAAATACGATATAGAAAAGAAATCCCTAGTTTGAGAAATTTTAAAGGACTTATACGATTTTCGTACATTTGTAGTACTTTTGAATTCTATTTACATATGTACATAATATAATCAAGACTCAAATAAAACCAGCTCCCACCCCCAAAGGCGTTTCTGTTCCTTTAATGTATATACTATTCCTTGTTGTATGATATAATAACGGTTGTCAAATCTCATCTCTCAACAGTTAGTGACGCTCCAGCAGTGCCTGTCACTACAACCCCAGTTCCGGAAAAAGAAAAACCTACACCAGGTACTGGTGCTAGGAAACTACCTTCAGGTTAAATTTCCAACATAATTTTGAAGCATGGCGATACCCCTTTAAAAAAAAGAGAAACACGACCTCCATTTTCCTAAAATGCTATAAGTATCCAATCAATAACACTTCACGTTCCTTAAAAGTCAATTACACCACGAACTGGTAATGTTTAAAATTCAATTTTCATGTCTTCATCACTGGATCTATTTAATTACAACCCAGTCCCAATTTTTTGAATAATCTTTCTACTTCTAACTTTCTTTTTAACCCAGAACTTTTACCTGCATTTAAATACACCCCCGTTCTAACAAGTGCTATCGGAATTCTAAAGCATCATAATGAATTATATGAAGTACGATTTGATTTATTAAGCGATGTGAGTTGTGTTGTGTTGTGTGATTTCTTGAGACAAAGTAATAACGTCTGTTCTGAATAATTTTTGGATCTGGAGTCGTTTGATCTTTCCGGTTTTTCCAATTTTCCTACTTATCTTACTGACAAAAAATACCAATCGTATGGAATAAACAATACTTAATATATCCCTTTGGTATTCGGGTAATATTTCAATTAAACCCCTACTACAAGATTAACAGAAAAGTTAATGCCGCAGTACTTATGCTAAATCTTTACACGGAATCATCCAAGTTAACCAAAGCTTGTAAATCATAGGTAGATATTAGGATTTCGATAGTTAGCTCACCTCTCCTTTTCTTAATCCATTTTTATTCAAATACAATAATATGGACCACCTACAAAATAATGTTCATGTAGAAACTAAATATCATGTTCTATTATTCATATAAATATTTAAATTAAAGTAAAATAAAGTCCCCATCTTTGGTATTG